TTTAGCTGAAATCTTACTTCTGAGGGTAACAAAGGCACAGAGAGCACAGCTGTTGCTGGCGTCTCAAAGCCACCCAGACCTGTATGCTGCTAGCCTGTTGACTGCAATGGTGCCGCCTGAAGTTATTGCTGACTGGCACAGGAAGGTGTCCTACCGCGGAGGAAGAAATAAGGCTGCCATCCCTAGAAACTTTTGAGAGAGGATTGCAATATACGTCCATGGAAATTTCACTAAGATTTTTGAAGAGGATTCAAGGGACACCCCTGTGTACATAAAATGCTCCATATGGGCCCCCCTGCTAATTCTGCAGGGCAATGAAAAACCGAGAGCAACTCTACCTCTTTATTGTACCCACTGCCTCTTCTAGTACAAGTAAATTAATGAAAAGTCAGTAGCTGTGTCCTGCTAAGTTGGGGGGAGGTATCAGTACATCATTGTAATGGGAAATACAATCACACATTTACCTGAGGTTCCTTCTCCTGCATCAGGCTTCCCTGTGCTCAACTACTGGCACTGATTGGACTGCAGTGGAATCTCAAACAGCTCCTGGCTCATGGAATAGCTGGACCCTCCCAGTCGCAGGACCCCCACTCTCCTCCTCACTGTTCACACCAGGGGCCTTGGAGTATCCACAGTGGTGTGTAGGGTGGCGGTGGGGTGTTCACCAAATATGACATGCAGTTCTTTGTAAAAGCAGGAGGTCTGCGGCTCAGCACGAGATTGATTGCCGGCCTCCCTGGTCTTCTGGTATGCCTGCTGCAGTTCCTTTACTTTCACACGGCACTGCTGCTGATCCCTGTCACACCCCTCTCCTGCATCTCCTGTACAATCTGCTCATAGATGTCCATGTTTCTGTGGCCAGTCCATAGCTGTGCTTGCATAGCCTCTTCTCTCTACGGGCCCCGGAGATAAAATACCTCCTGTCTGCTCCGGGCAGGAACATGTCTGGAGTGTGCAGCCAACATGGCTGGTGGGGCAGTTGCACACAACAGTGGAAAGCTGCTAGGTGTACTTGCCAAGATGGGACAATCAGGAAAAGGCATTTTAAAAATTTGTGGGGTTTTAATGGGTGTGGGGGACTTCTGGTCTCTGTCACCCTGGAGAGTGGAGTTGACAACTGTGACCAGAGCAGTCAGTATCGGGCATTGTGGGATAACTGCTGGAGGACTGTTAGGGTTGATAAAGGTAATGCAATGTCTACATTCGTGCTGTGTCAACTTCAGTGCATGGACCATGGCTCAATGCCACTTGGCGAGGTGCTGTTACTTGTGCTAATGAAGAACCTACATTGGTGGGAGGCAAATTTAAGTGTAGACTTATGCACAATTAGGTCGACACAAGGAGGCCTACGTCACTCTAATATTATCGTGTAGACCAGGCCTTAGGTTGGAGCTTAAAATGGCCCTAAAGGGATCCCTCAAAGGACCTACTATTCTCCTTAAACTACCTTATAAAACTCACCTGGAGAGCCATCAGGTCTTGGAATTTTAGTACTTGCCATGCTTGGTGTTGCCTCTAAGATTTCTTCTTCTATTATCTACAGTTTCTTTATCAATTTCATGTATTTTTGGCAAGCCTGCTACTTCCAGATATTTTTGAATCACTTCAGAGCTTGGTGTAAGTGAAGTAGAGTGGGTTTATAATAAGCAGCAAAAGTAGCACACATCACTAGGGTGTGTATCTGTTGCTGACTGTTAATTGGTGGCGTAATGGTTGCTTTTGAATCACTATAAGTTTAAGACAGTAACTTACCACTTTTATTTCCTGTTTCATAAAACATTGGTTTTATATATCTAAGGACTTCTTCAGTGGCATGTGTCATCAACATATTTAGTTTCCCACTAATATTAATTAACTATTTATATACTATTTTGAACCTGGGGTTTTATGAATCTCTCCTGATTTTAATTTTTCTTAATCTCCTTTTTCAATTGAGAGGTTCTGCTTATCAGCCGACCCCTAAAAACTTCTCCAAATGCCTCCCACAGAAGATATCTCTTTGTTCGATACTTTCAAATGATATAAATATAATGTCCTCTTTAATTGTTGTTGTCCAGTTTTTGTCCTGGAGAAGCTTAACTCATTGTCCATAAATCATCTTTGAGATCCACCCCAACTATGCAGTATAACTTCTAATGGGGTTATTTGACTATGCCAGTTTCTATAGATCTTGTTTGCTTCATTAAAGATTTAGAAACAAGCATTTCATAGAATCATAGAAGATTAGGGTTGGAAGAGACCTCAGGAGGTCATCTAGTCCAACCCCCTGCTCAAAGCAGGACCAGCACCAACTAAATCATCCCAGCCAGGGCTTTATCAAGCCGGGCCTTAAAAGATGGAAATTCCACCACCTCCCTAGGTAACCCATTCCAGTGCTTCACCACCTTCCTAGTGAAATAGTTTTTCCTAATATCCAACCTAGACCTCCCCGACTGCAATTTGAGACCATTGCTCCTTGTTCAGTCACCTGCCACCACTGAGAACAGCCTAGCTCCATCCTCTTTGGAATCCCCCTTCAGGTAGTTGAAGGCTGCTATCTCATCCCCCCTCACTCTTCTCTTCTGCAGACTAAATAAGCCCAGTTCCCTCAGCCTCTCCTCATAAGTCATGTTCCCCAGCCCCCTACTCATTTTCGTTGCCCTCTGCTGGACTCTCTCCAATTTGACCACATCCTTTCTGTGTGAGGGGTGTGTGGCAAAACTGGACGCAACACTCCGGATGTGGCCTTACCAGAGCCGAATAGAGGGGAATAATCACTTCCCTCGATCTGCTGGCAATGCTCCTACTAATGCAGCCCAATATGCTGTTAGCTTTCTTGGCAACAAGGGCACACTGCTGACTCATATCCAGTTTCTCAACCACTGTAATCCCCAGGTCCTTTTCTGCAGAACTGCTGATTAGCCAGTCGGTCCCCAGCCTGTAGCAGTGCATGGGATTCTTCTGTCCTAAGTGCAGGACTCTGCACTTGTCCTTGTTGAACCTCGTCAGATTTCTTTTGGCCCAATCCTCCAATTTGTCTAGGTCACTCTGGACCCTATCCTTCCCCCCAGTTTAGTGTCATCCGTGAACTTGCTGAGGGTGCAATCCATCCCATCATCCAGATCTCTGGTTACCTGAGATGGAATAGTTGGTACAGAAAGGTTAATGCTACACCTATTTCTTTATCTATTTTTTCTTTCCTATCAGATTTGTCCCAGTAAGAAATTGGTCTACAGTTGAAGGCTTTTCCAAGTAGGATTTACCCTTCCCAAAGTGTTGCAGTATTTTAAAGAAATGTTTTTAAAATGTGCTTTGCTTTTGACTTGGATCCTAGACTGTGCTGTTTAATAAAATAAACCATCCTTCATTCTTAAAATGATCATTAATCTGAAAATGCCCGTGTTTAGCAAATATGCCTTTGGCAGAAGCAAAAAAGTCATATTGAAACCAATTCTTTCCTGCCACAATCTGATCCTCCTGAAAATGAGTTTCTTGAAGTGAAATAATCTGAGTGGTTTTTTTAGTTCTACCAGACCTCTTTTCCTTTTAATGACATTACTTAGCCCTTTGACATTCAGAAATGATACCTTAAAGGGAAAGACACTGATAACTCGTTAGCTTATCCAAAACCTGAAGGTTGTATGTTTCTTTGGCTGTTTGAAGGCATGAACCATTGTATGGCAAATGTTTCATTTCTAATTATGTTGTATTCATAATTGTGTGCCTGAGTGGGCTTGATTTCTGCTTGTAAACTTCCGTAGCTAATTCCTTTATTAATCCTCTTACCACCTTCCCAGCCCCCGCCCCCCCGTATTCCCCTTCCTTTACGTCCAAAAATAAAATACCAAAGTAGCATTTATATCAGTCCTCAAATGACTGACTTGCTGAGCCCAAAATAGAGATGGACAGAATTTTATTTGGAATGCTCTGTTCCATTTTTTTCAAATAAGGTCAATGTTCCATTTCAGCCTTTTCGGAAAAGAACCATTTGATTTTTTTTTAAGTTATTTTTTTAGTTCCATTTTATATTATATAACATTTTAAAAGGTGAAATTGGAACAAGATGTTTTGATTTTTATCAGGATGAAATATTTTTACCCAAAGCAAAACTTCTTGAATTTAGTTTCATGGGTATTTTTGTTGTTGTGTTTTGGAACTGAAATTTCAAATTTGCGGTTTTTTCCTGCCCAACTCTTACCCTAAACCACTGTACTCTCCCCTTGAACACTTGGACTACTTCTCTTTGCAATCCAAGGGAGGTACATTCTCTGCCAATGGGACTTCAACCCTTGCCCTTAGGGATAGATTACCACCTGATCATTTGCACTACATTGGGAGGATTTACATAGATCCCAAGGGCCCCTCCTTGTGCCTATCTCTTTTCCCCAGTCTCCTCCATGTGTGAGAGACACTCTAAATATTTTATTTTCTATTTGTAATATAAAGAACACAGCTACAACAAAGTTATGGCCACCCCAAGACCACCTTCTGGTTAATCTCATTCATCTTTCATCTTTTCTTTTTCTACCCCCCTTTTCAGCAGTTTATTATAGTTTAGTTTCTAATCTGGAGTATGCTCTTGGGTGGCTGAGATTTGGATATGGATTTCTATTCCAAGTGATTTATATGTGGCCTATACAGCTGTCTAATTTCTGAATGATTTGAAATTATTTGAAATATGGCTTTCTTGATTAAGGTAAAAAGAACGTATATAACACATGAGCAGTCATAACAGAAAAATTCACAAGCTTCTCTTTATCAGTTAGAAGAATACCCCATCTTAAAATGTATGGTACACCAAGGAAGGCTTGAGGTGTGATCCAGACTGCTTCCTCCCCCAAATGCCATTGCAGTGCTATGTATTGTGGTTGCTCTTTGAGCAGAATATCTTGCCAGTGAACCTTCTTCCTCAGATCCCTAACAGAGCTAGGTTTAAAAGCAAACAGCCTGCCTTATTTTGTCTTCCCTTTGTCCAATATTATCCAATTATTGCTTCTAAATAATCTCTCTTTTGTTTGCAGGTTGAAGAAAGGCCAGAAAAAGACTTTGAGAAGGTAAGAAAGTTGACATGAATTATATTGATCATAACACATAGCCTACCACTTTTCCATATGTTAAACTTGCATTAAATTTACACACATTTTGAATAAAATCCAGGGCAGGATATGGCTTCATATAGTAAGAACATAAGAATGACCATACTGGATCAGACCAGCGGTCCATTTAGCCATGATCCTGTCTTCTGGCAGTGGCCGGTACCAGATGCTTCAGAGGGAAGTAATAGAACTGGGGCAATTATCTAGTCATCCAAACCCCTGTCGTAAATTCCCAGCTTCTGGCAGTCAGAGGCTATGGGACACCCAAAGCATGGGGTTGTGACCTTGACCCTTTTGGCTAATCGCCATTGATGGACTTATCCTCCATGAACTTATCTAATTCTATTTGAGCCCTGTTATGGTTTTGGCCTTCACAACATCCCCGGGCAATGAGTTCCATAAGTTGACTGTATGTTTTGTGAAGAAGTACTTCCTTATATTTGTTTTAAACCTGCTGTCTGTTAATTTCATTGGGTGACCCTTAGTTCTTGTGTTACGTGAAGCAGTAAATTATTCACTTTCACTTTCTCCACTCCATTCATGATGTTATAGTCCTCTATCATATCCCCCCTTAGCTGTCTCTTTACCAAGCTGACAAGTGCCAGTCTTTTAAATCTTTTATATGGAAGGTGTTCTATGCCCTTAATCATATTTGTTGCCCTTCTCTGTACCTTTTCCAATTCTTATGTACCTTTTTTGAGATGGGGGTGACCAGAACTGCACTCAGTATTTGTGTGGACATGCCATGGATTTCTATAGTGGCATAATGATATTTTCTGTCTTGTTATCTATCCTTTTCCTAATGGTTCCTAACATTCTGTTAGCTTTTTTGATTGCCACTGCACATTGAGTGGATATTTTCAGAAAACTATCCATGACAACGCCAAGATCTTTCTTGAGTGGTAACAGCTACTTTGGATCCCATCATTTTGTAGGAATAGTTGGGATTGTTTTCCAATGCGTGTTACTTTGCATTTATCAACACTGATTTTCATCTGCCATTTTGTTCTCGGTTGCCCAGTTTTGTGAGATTCCTTTGTAACTCTTTGCTGTCTGCTTTGGACTTCACTATCTTAAGTAGTTTTGTCTTGTCTGCTGGGACTGCCAACATGAGTGCCAATTATATAATTTTGGTGGTGTTGGACACCTGAATTGGACTGAATTAAAGGCACAGACTTGCTTCTCATAGCTCACCAATTAGCTATCTGATGGTAACTTCTGTCAGTCACTTCCATCCTGTCCCAAATTTGAACTGATGACCTCAAGGTAAAGGTTTCTGTCTCCATCAGTAGCCATACTATAAATGATCTGAAAAATCTCAGGACATAAAATTTGTTCAACAGAAGGTCTTTTCTGACCCACTGATGCACAGCATGTCTACTGATGATCCATTTGCTATAAATTAAAACAACTTTCTTTGTTCCAAAGAGATCATTGTGGTCATTCTGATTGGTATGCATATAAAAAGGCAGATCACATTCTCAAAATATTTACGTGCATTCATTTTTGTGTTTTAAAAAGGATTATTTCATAACCCATCTTATTTTAACCGTGTATGTATGGTTCTAGGGAGCTCGTACTGTGTCAAGCTTATCAGCAGCTACACTAGCCTCTCTGGGTGGAACTTCCTCCCGGAGAGGCAGTGGGGACACCTCCATCTCCGTTGATACTGAGGCATCCATTAGAGAAATTAAGGTAAGAAGTCTTTGTAAGTAACATGTATTGGTAGGAACTGTCTCTTGCTAGAGGAGTCATTCCAGTCAGAATGTATTTATCCATGTCTTGAAGTTTTCCACTAAGTTTGACCTAGTAAGCAGTGGAATTATTTAAAAGCATAGCTTTATATTTTTCCATCAGTATGTGTGAGAAATTACACATGCAAATCAGTATTGGCAGGAGTGACCAAAAACACCTCATTCATCTAAAGACTTGGCCCTCCTGAAATCATAGAATCATAGAATATCAGGGTTGGAAGGGACCTCAGGAGATCATCTAGTCCAACCCCCAGCTCAAAGCAGGACCAATCCGCAGACAGGTTTTTTTACCCCAGTTCCCTAAATGGCCCCCTCAAGGATTGAACTCACAACCCTAGGTTTAGCAGGCCAATGCTCAAACCACTGAGCTATCCCTCCCCCCTAAATGTGGGCAGTAACTGTGGTCTGTTTTATGCAGAGTTGTGTAGCCATTTTGGCCCAGGATATTAGAGACAAGGTAGGTGAGGTACTATTTTTTATTGGACCAACTTCTGTTGGTGAGAGAGACAAGCTTTCACAGAGCTCTTCTTCGGGTGATCTGAAGAAGAGCTCTATGTAAGTTCAAAAGCTTGTCTCTCTCACCAACAGAAGTTTGGTCCAATAAAAGATATTACTATGGTCTGTTTTGTATTTTCATTTTATTGGTTGGTTAAAAAAAATCTTATTTTTTGGAAAAATGGTGCATAGCTGTTCTAAAAAGAGATGCTGTAGCACAACTGGAAGTTATGGGCTCGATGTAGGGGGACTTGGGTGAAACACTATGGCCTGTGTTATGCAGGAGATCAGACTAGATGATCGGAATAGTTCCATCTGGTATTAAAAACTATAAAAGTGGAAAACAAACCGAGTCCCTTTCTCTCTCTCCCCCCTTGGTCACCCCCAAATTATAATATTTTACTTCTTTTGCAGTTCTAGCATCAGGAGGTGACCAAGGGGCGGGGAGGGGAAGAGAGAGAGAGATTGTGTAAAGCTTTAATTGGGCTCATAATTAAAATGAATGTCTTTATTCCATTTGCCAGTGGTATTTCCCACACTTCCTAGGGTGTCCTGTTGATGCTCATGTTCCCACTTTTCTCTGAAACTTATCATAGAGTGATGTAGCTGTGAGCACCTCACGTGCATTAATAAATTTATCTTCACAACACCGCTGTTGGGTGCTAGTAGAGAAATATCATTCCCATTTGACAGATAGGGAACTGAGGCAGAACGAGGGGGGAGGGGGGGACTTGCCCAATGTCATACAACCTGTGGCAGAGCTGAACACGGAATTCAGAGCTCTTGAGTCACGATCTAGTTCCTTAACCACAAGACCATCATTGTTCTAGAAACATCCCATTTTCCCAGTCAAAATGATTAGGACAGGAATAGACATCTGTTCAAGACAGAGGATTGTGTGAAAGGTCTATACCTCTTTTTATAATGAAGTTTAGAAAACTCAAACTAGAGTAGAAACATGTCTGTAAATGGGAATTTTGAACACCGGCTTCTCACTCGGCTGTGATTACTGCCCATTAGTTTTCTTGACATCATTCACTTTTTTTGCCATTTCCCTCAGGATATCAATGAGTTAAAGAACCAGATTCAGGATGTAGAAGGCAAATACATGCAGGGATTGAAAGAAATGAAGGTACTGGTTTATTGCAGACTGAACATGTGATATTAACATCAGCTAAACTTTCAGAGAGGCACAGTGAGAGACAGAACTCGAATTTAACCTGCATGCTTTTATGCTGAAGTGTGAATTAACTAAAAGCATTTCATCAGTGAGGAAAACATGCTTCCCATTCTGATGACTAGTAATCATTTCTTTGGATAATTCTTGGTAATCAGCACATGTAAATATTTATTAACCTCTGTAGAAAAGGTCATTAATGAGAACTTTTACTACCGCATGTCTTATATTTTGGTGTCTTGAGAATGTATTTAAATCTCCATCAAAAATTGTAATATAAAGATTAGAGTATATAGAAAACTAATCAGTTACTCCTTTTTAAATATGTCCATAATACAAGAACAGGAAATCACTCAAAATTTGAGGGTAAATCTAAAATAAAAGTAAATGCTGATTATTAAGCATGTAACCAACCTGCGGAGTTCAGTGCCATGGGAAATCAAAGTTAAATACTGTAAATGTATTTTAAAAGGTACTTAGTAGAGTGTCCCAGTAAAACAATTGGTAAGTTATACGTGCCTGAGGGAGAGACAATCATATCTCATGTTATACAAGCAGCCCTGGTAAAACTTCCATATTTTATGGGGTAAACTGTCGGAGCAGCTGCAGGGGAAGAACGCCTACAAATTCCATTAATGCACAAAAGGATTTTGGTGTAGCAGCTAAATAAATGCATTAGTTTGACACTTTACACTATGTATTCAGCTGCATTGGCTCACGTTTTGAAAACAGAAGGCATGTAAAGATGAGTGTACTGGGGACTTGGCATACCAGATACTGTAATACAGTACATATTAGCGTAATTGTTAATTAAAATTAAAACTTTCTCTCCTACTTTTTCCTCATCTGTTCAGTAGTACAAGATACTCGGTTACTGGCATCTTAGGTGACCTGCAAATGGAAAAAATAGTTTGTGCTTTTTTTGCATCTTTTAGATATATGAAGCCTAAACTTTTTTCTCTTATAGATCACAAAATATATATTAGATTCTGCAAACTAATCTACCTTACCCTTTGAGAATAAGTGAACTAGATTTTTGTAATATTGTTCCCTTCAAGTGCATTTGTAGCATTTTTATCCAGGTCTGCTTGTGTCTTCGAAGACCAACAACTTCAGTTTTGCTTAGTCACCTCTGACCTTGCTTTTGGCATAGAATGAGGAACGTATACTTAATTAAAAATTCATTTCCAGCTGTAATAACTTTCTTCAGAATTTGCCAGGAAGAGACTGGAACATTTTAAGCAAACTAAATTCATCCCCTCCCAGAATAAAAGTGTTAAATAGCGAATAGCTTGAAACCTCCGACTGATTTAGGCTATTTCTTTAGTGGTTTTATTCTCTGTATTCAAATTTAGAATTATTAAATGACAGGTAGATAGTCCAGGGTTGGGATAGAATTTGATAATATTAATAAAACAAAATTGGGCATGTTCTACTATGATTCTGCATTTACCCTTAACTGTGTGTGCTTTCGTGCCAACTAATTTTAAGGGTTTAATTAATCATGTAGCTGCTTTGATTCCTGATTGCCCTTTCAGCAACTGAAATGTCTTGTCTTATACAGTACACCTGCAACATGCACCAGTAACATTTAATGATGAGACAGAAGTTCTTGTACCTTTAAAATGTCAGATTGCCTTATTCTTTAATAGTATTCCAAAATAGATTATTAATTTGAAAAGTAAGTATTTTGTCATCTTTTCAGTTTTAAAAGTCTGCACATTTCCCCCTGTAATGTTTATGGATCTAGTAGAAGTGGAATATTATAAATATCCAAAATTTATCATGGATGTCCATATAATGCTAGCAATATGACTTAATGAATTGGTGGATTGTTGATCCTAGCTTTAAATTAAGACCTCTATATAGGCACCTCTTTTGTTTCTTGCCTGCATACTTGCACTGCTGTGCTTTTGAAAGTTGCTGTTAGGGTGGTCTTAATTCAAATTGTGTACCTGGAGAGGTTTTAGACCTGCGATGTGACATGGAAAATGGTACCGTTTTATCTTGCCGACATTGCAGCTATTCTTATATCTGAACTGTTCTCATGCTCAGCCCGAGTTCATAAATCTGAATTGCCTAGACAGTCGGAACTTGATCTTAGTAAAGCAGGTTAAGAAAGGGGATCTAATAAAAGAAGGGGTAAGCATGGGGAAAAAAAATTTGTTTCACGCTTCATCTGAAGCAAAAATCTAACCAAAAATGGAGTATAAAGGGCTGGTCTGCACTGAAAACGGACATTACATAGCTGGTGTCTCAGGTGGGTGAAAAATCTACCCCCCTGAGGGGCGTGGCTATGCTGACCTAACTAACCCCTAAAGCAGACAGCACTACATCAATAGAAGAATTCTTCTGTTGACCTAGCTGCTGCCTCTTTGGGAGGTGGACTAACCGCAGTGATGGGAGAACCCTTCCCATTGCTGTAGTGAGTGTCTAAGCCAGGGGTCTCAAACACGCGGCCCAGGGGCCGCATGCGGCCCACGGGGTAGTTTTCTGCGGCCCGCGAGCTCCTCGCTCGCCCCCCCCCCCCCCCCAGCGTTTACCTAGAGCGGCTCCAGCCCAATGCATACCGGGGGAAGGGCAGGCTCCCTGCCTGCCCTGCCCCCTGCCGCTCCAGGAAGCAGCCGGAACGTGGGGAAGGGGGGGCACAGGGCTCCGTGTGTTGCTCTTGCTTCAGGCAGCGCCCCCAGCAGCTCCCATTGGCCGCAGTTTCCCGTTCCCGGCCAATGGGAGCTGCTGGGGGTGGTGCCTGAAGCAACAGCAACACACAGACCCCTATGCCTCTCCTCCCCCAGGTTCCGGCCACTTCCTGAAGCGGTGTGGGGACAGGCAGGCAGGTGGCCTGCCCTGCCCCCAGTGCGTGTCGGGCTGGAGCCCGCCCCCCCGCGCCACTCTTGCAGCCCAACCCCCTGCTGTACCCCGCACCCCTCCGGCAGTCCAACCCCCTGCTGTACCCCGCACCCCTCCTGCCCTCCCTGGGGGCAGGAAGGGGGCAGAGTTGGGGTGGGGATTTCAGGGAAGGGGTTGGAATGGGGGCAGGGCCTCATGGAAGGGGTGGAGTGGGGGCGGGGCCAAGGGTGGCGGGGGGGAGGTGTCAGTAATGCGGCCCTCGGCCAATGTACTAGTCCTCATGTGGCCCTCGTGGTCATTTGAGTTTGAGACCCCTGGTCTAAGCTAACATGCTGCAGCTGGGGCTCTGTAGCATTTTAAGTGCGCGCATAGCCAAAAGGTAGTATACAGTAACTGCAATTTTTAATTAAACATACCACAGAGTCCTAATTTAAGACAGCAAAAAGCCCAGATATTGCCACCTCTTCTCCCAAGTTTGGGGTCCCAGTCAGCAAAGTTACTTAAGCACATGGTTAACAGTTGATTCAGTTGGACTGCTTGCATGTCTACAACTAAGCATGTACTTACATACTTTGCAATGTATAAAAGTGCTTTCTTTGAAGTAACCTCTCACTGCACTTACATATTTCTTGTCTTCAGGACTCCCTAGCAGAAGTCGAAGAGAAATATAAAAAGGCTATGGTGTCTAATGCTCAACTAGACAATGAGAAAACAAACTTCATGTACCAAGTCGATACCTTGAAGGATGCATTGTTAGAGTTAGAAGAACAGCTGGCAGAATCCAGGAGGCAATATGAAGAGAAAAGCAAAGTGAGTATGAACACTTCTTGAGAAGCTGAAAGTTGTTTGAAAAAATGTCTTCAGGGAAGAGGGGAATGAGTCAAGTATATAGAAATCTACCCTTTGAATAGCACTCATTAGCAACTTGGCTGCCTTTTCTGCCTTTATCTGTAGGCACATGAACATGAGATTTAAATTTGGTAAGTCAATATCCAGGATATGGTGACTTTTTCACATACAAGCTCAGTATAGCTTTATGTATTTCATTTGCATTTTGACTTAGAGAATATCCAAAAAGCCTTTCTGACTCCATAGCGACTTTTGAAGGCTTTCCCGTTTCCTCTGGGACCCGGTTACATACAAAGCTTAATTCAAAAGGCCATAGGAGAGTTGTGTGAGAAGTACTTCTTAAACAAATGATGGCATTCATGCGGTTAAATATTGAAAATATACTATTGACTTGAATTATTGTCACCTCACTGAGGTGATGGAATAAGCCTCACTGAGTTAACTTTCCTGCAAACTAGTATTTCCTTATGGCTTATGTGGTAACTTCTCAGGAGCTAAATCTTTGACTCATGAGATATTGGTTAGTGTGTCCTCCATCATGCATAGCTCTTGGGAAACTGTTTGCTTTTAAAATTTCACAATAAGAACTGGCCAAGTTGGAGTACTCGACCTTTTGGAAAAGGTAGGTTCCATTCCTAGTCATTATCTCTGAGGTCAGCAGGGCTTGAGTGCTGTAGATGATGTGCACTCCCCCGGCCCCAAAATCCATCCTGCCCAGTTTATTATGGATCAGTGTCTAAATTGAGCATTTGGTTTGAAATAACCCAGTCCCAATCTCAGATTTCCTTCATAAGAGACAAACAAGCTTAAAATTGAGATATTGATACTTACCCTTGTGTAAAGCACTTTGAGATCTGTGTATGAACAGCTCTAGGTATTATTATTATGCATGACAAAAAAATATTTCCTTGCCTCTCCAGGAATTTGAGCGGGAAAAGCATGCTCATAGCATATTGCAGTTTCAGTTCACGGAAATCAAGGAGACCCTGAAGCAAAGAGAAGAAATGCTCGAGGTAAGTAATTACTCCGTTGTCTTTAATGTGGTTGTTTGATTCATGTGTTCCAAACTAACAGTTAGAATATAGAAGGCTTAGACAGGAATGGAGAATCTTAGTCCCTGCCCCAAATTTCTCATCTGATGCAGTACTGTAGGTTGTCTGTTAGCCCTGAAAAGGTTAGGGCTGATGAAAACAAAAATATTTCAGAAGTACTGTTCGTAGTTGGATTTGTATGTTATGCTGTCTTTAATTTCCCAGAATAAGTTGTTATATGCTCTGGGCTCCTTCTTGTGGTGAGGCTGGAAGAAAGAGGACAATGGCATAAAACTCCAGTAAGGATTCAGAGCAAGATAGTTCCAGTAGACAGGTGTTTGTCATCATACTAAAGGTGAGAGGTTGGCTGTCCCTAGCTGGGTAGGTTTCAGGAGTTGCATTCATCTCTTTGAAGGAAAACAGTTGCATTTTGACTTAGAGAATATCCAAAAAGCCTTTCTGACTCCAGGAAATGTTATCCATAGCAACTTTAGAAGGCTTTTCCGTTTCCTCTGGGATGCATGTAGGTAGTTTGTTGTACTTTCTTAACACCTGATTTCATTGTTCTTTGCATCACTACAATCTTGAGTTTTTCTTCTGATTAACCCTTTACCTGCTTTCTGTCTCCTTGTGTGCCCCTGCCCCTCAGGAAATCCGACAGCTGCATCAGAAACAGGAGAGCTATATCAGGGAAATTTCTGATCTTCAGGAGACGATAGAGTGGAAAGACAAAAAAATAGGGGTAGGAATCGCGCACACCTTCTGAAATTTGCTCAGTTTCACACTGAGCTTCTTTAGCAGACTCTACACCTGCAAAACCTCATGAATGAAATATTACCCTATACAATGTGACCCACAATCTGTCTAATAGACTCTTTACATAGAATTGTGGCTTTAACTTAAAAGATAAGGTCCAAGAAAATGCTTATCTTCTGACCAGATTTGAAAATTCACTGGAGTTCATATAACATGGTGAAATGTGTGCACCCCATCATGGATATGTATAACCAAGAAAGGAGTGCCCTTTAGTAAAATACTGGCTATTCATGATGTGGTTTCAATGCTGAATGGAATTGGTTTTCTGTTCAAATGTATTACCATTGCTCTTTTAAACCATAACTGCACTGTTGGAAAGGAGAAAGTGGGCTTGTTTATAGCTCACTGGACTCTTGGGATGAAAATCTTCTTTTTTTCCCCACCAGTGTAAACGAAATGTTAACTCTAAAGAGAAATATGGTATAGGGAGTGGCAGATGAGATGTGAAAGACTCTTTTCTTGGCTGGACAAAAGAAACCTGGCAAGTCGTTTGTCCATGATGTTGTCCTATGACTTATGGCAATTTGAAACCCACAATTTAAAATGGTCAAAGTTTCACTACTGCTGAGAATTTTATAAAAGTTTGTACTGCATGCTGCATACTTGAGGTATACGCACTATTTCCATGACAGACTGCAAAAGTTCCATGGACGCCACTGAGATCTGTCAGACCAGCTTTCATACACTTTCTTTAATGTATTTTGATTTAAAAAAAACCACACCCACACAAAAGTACTATAGGAAATTCCAAGTCAAGAGTATAAAAATCTGTTCTTAGCTGCCTTATTGTATATAGTTACTGAAAAATCGAATCCCAACACAGCGCAGGATATCAGGGGTTGAATATTTATTATGAACTCCCCCAACTGAAAGTTTGGATTAAGTCATATATTTACTCTATTTACATTTTTTTATGAATTTGTAAATTTAGCCTTTAATCTGTTAATTTTCTCCTTTTCATGCATGTCAGTTCCATTAACTTCTGAATATCTGAAACCTGCTTATTCTTATTTCTAACTTGCCTTACATAGTCTCTTCTCCTTTCTTGTTGTCTCCCTGCCTTCTGTCTGTTTGCTCTGTGAACACTCAGGCGTTAGAGAGGCAGAAAGAGTTCTTTGATTCCATAAGGAGTGAGCGGGATGACCTCAGAGATGAGGTGGTTGTGCTGAAGGAACAACTGAAGGTATGCCATAAGAACAGAAGAAACTCTTGTTGCTAAAGCAATTAAGTAATGAGTTGCTGGTTTCTCTTCTGGTGCACTGGACAGAAAAGCTGGTTCCAGCTATCCAGCACTGATGAGCCATATGTACATGTTGCTCTCATTCATTTCAAGAATTTGCTTTTTACTTATCTCATCTGTGATAGTTGGCATTCCTAATATAGTGAATATAGGTGAGGGGCTGTTGCCCAAGGAACATTTCAGATATTGGGCAACAGAGCTACTTTAAAAAGGTGATCAGATCTGTTCTGTCAGAACTTTGAACAAGGCATATTCTCATTGGTTTTGTGATGAAGCAACCACTGCTCAAAATATAAAGGGACAAGAATGTTCAGCCAAATATATTGTTTGAACACCAGACTTCAAAATGTTCCTTCCTTATCCACAGAAACACGGAATAATCCCAAACTTGGAAGTAGCCACCAATGGAGAGGCTTTAGATGGTCTCGATAATGAAGCACATTCAGATTCTACCAAGATTACTCCAGGAGCGACTCAGATCCTACAGACAGCTGGGGATGGGACACTAGGTAAGTGCTGACACTCCACTAGAGCAGTGATACTCAGACTATGGCTTGTGAGCCGCAAATGGCTCTTTAATGTGTCTCCTGCGGCTCTTTGCAGCACACGATATTAAAATCCTGGATGCTTTTACTGTGGTATTAACCAATTAAGTTATCAACTTGCACTGCTTAAATATGAATAGTACTATAGTAAATGAAACAATGAATTCACACTACCGGGGCTCTTTTAGGTAATGCTGATTGCTAATTTGGCTCCTGAACCACTGAGGTCTGAGTATCACTGCACTAGACTTTTCCATCTGTCTAATCCTAATTCATTCACTTTTTTGCTTGGAGATTGAGCATTCATTATTTGGACAATTAACCAGTCACGCAGCTTGTTGAATCACCTCCTATGCCTTTTTCTGCTTATTGATTATGATCGCTTCATTTCAAGCATATCATGACATTTTTCTGTACCTGCAAAAGGAGATTTTTATTGTATGGTCCCTTTGTTCTGCACCCTGAGAAAATAAATGGTCGTGACACAAGTATAAATACAAGATGAGTAGCAGCTTATTTAGCTTAATATTAAAACCTGAATTTAGGAATGTCCTCAACAATCCTACTGTTGCTTTGATTATTTTTTCTAACACAGAGAATTAAGCTGAGAGAGAACCAGAATAAGAGCATTTGAATTCTTATATGTAAATTTAGCACACAAATTCTGTAACTAATATATTATTGGAGAACATAAAGCTCTGCTGAACAACAGTTCAGTGTGCTGCTGCAAGACATTTTCACATAGTTCTAAATTCTTAATATCTAGTACTGCTAAGTATAAAGCAATTTATATTGCTGGAAATTTTGTAACAATTATATGCTCAGCAATGTGTACAGGAAGTATACATTATTTGTGTGTGTCCTCAGACAAGGAGGAATCTGGTTGGCAAAGATTCTGACTTGGTGCAATTATATTGTATAGTCAGAATCTGAACTGATTAGCTATTGAACTTCCCACTGTCTCATTAGCTCATGGAAGAGGAGGAAATACTCGTTTTTTATTTCTAAATTGAAATACTAGCAAATCTCAACAGGCAGCCAACCATGTAATTAGAAGTGGGAGTTTTCTCAGATTTAGCTGTTGGCAGCTTTTTCTCATTCCATTAGGTGAAAACAATTTTAAACAACAAAAACAGGGTCTGAGAACATTTAAAGTTATATCTAAAACTCTAGTCTGTTCTAACGTATTCTGATTCTATGGAAACAGGTACGTCATAGGAACAAAAGCTAATACCCGACATTGAGTGCTGGTTAACACCTGCTTTTTTGCTCCTAAAGTGCTGCAAATTGGAAGAAAAGTTATATTTTTAGACAATACTTGAGAGAGAAATATTGTCCCTTTTGGATGGATGTAGTGGCTGGAAGAAGCGCTAAATAACTGAGCTTCAACCTTGTGGGTTATGTCTGATATCCGTGCATTCAAAACATTTGCCTGCCAATCAGATCCCATCTTCCATAACACTCATTATACACACTTATTTATAAAATAGTGCCTGTTTTTTTAAGTCAATAGCTATATAAAATATTGCTGAGTATTAGGTAAGTTACTTGGTTGTAATGCCATCAAACAAACACAGCTTGGCAATAATAATACAGTATAGAGCAATGTGAGGGTTAAAAATATGGTGAATACTTGTGGATCATATAGCTTGTACTTGTTAGCAGCAAAAAAACCCCAAAACTCTACCTTTGTCTCATAATCTTAAATCTGCGAGTTTTGTTACATTACTATTAATAAACTGCACTGCTTGAAAAATGTTCATCTCATTTATGAAAGCTGTACTTCATACAGCTTCAACTAGAGAAATCTTTAACTTATCTGATGCCAGAATCAGATACAACTCTTGCTTTTGGGAAAGCGGGGGGGGGTTCACTGATCAGAGAATTTACTAATTCAATTGCTGCTTTGCCTCACGTAATTGGCAAAAGCTGATCTTTTATTAACCGATTCTTTTAATTCATTTTCTCTTTTGGGGTTTAAGTGGGGAGGTAAGTGTTACATGTTTAACAAATTTAAGTAGTCACCCCTTGGTGTAGTCCCTTCAACTTTCTCAATGGTCTTTTAGGCAGAGCGAATGAAGTGGAGATGAAAGATGAGATTTTGGAGGATGTGGGGAAAAGAGAAATCTTGCAGAATACTGAGCATGAGGAACACAAAGAGGAGTCTGAGGAGCAGGAAATTGTAAAGGAGTGTACGGAGATAAAGACATTGCATGCTGATGAAAATACAGAGGCAGAAAAAACCATGGAAGACAATGATGTCACATCAACAGTGATGTTAAGTAGTGGACGTGAGGAACAAATTCAAAGCCACACAGAACATGTTTCAGGAAATGTTTCTTCCACTGAAAATAGTGATATAATTGAGTTGAGAAAGGAAACAGAATCAGGAGATGATAGCATAGAAGCCCAACAGCCTGATAGTAAGGAATCTGAACATAGTAGTGATTTAAATTGCTTGACTAATGAGAATTGGGAAACAGGTACACTGCAAAGTCAGGGTATTGAGACTCCTCTGGGAATACCTACTGACATAGACACAGAGCATGAATCTGAAAGAGTTGCACAAGAGCAGAAAGTAACGCAAGAAGACTTTACAATTTGCCAGAGAGAAGACAGTATTGAAATATTTCAGGAAGCTCTTGATTTTGTGGTTAGCAGCCACGCGTCAGCTTCTGATCAGTCAGGATCACCAGAAGGTGCAAGAGCAGGTACAGGTAATGAAGAATCACATGTGGAGGCTCACACTGAAAGTCTCTGTCAAGCAGAAGAAAGCACTGAAAATGAGGTTATGAGTAGCTTGGAGAAACAGCTTGATGAAGATGAAGGGTGCATAGACAGAACAATTAGTAAAGTAGGGAGTGGTAAAAATGAGAGTGATACAGCCGAAGAACAAAATAAGACTGGAAATACAGTTCTGAGTCAGGGAAGGAAAGAAGTAGATTCTGTGGAAGAGGAGGGAGAAGCAGCATGTGAAAGTGAGGTCACACCAGATACAATTGTAAAAGAACAAAAGCCAGATGAAACACATACTCTATCCACTTTTTCAAAGAGCGATCTGATATTAGCGGAAGAGGAAGGAAATATGCAAGATGAGGCAGAGAATGAGAAGGATATTGCTGGGAGGGGACAAACAAAAGACATAGGAAAGATGGAAGAATTGACAGGCATGTTGGATGTACAACCAGATTCTGAAAACAAAAGGGTGGAAGAAGAGGAACCTGTGGCATCCCTAGATGAATTTGCAGAGGTAAAAGAGGGTGTATCGCATCAGACAGGGCAGGACCAAGATGTCATGAAAGAAAGTCAATCTCAAGAAACTATTTTAGTTCCTAGTCCCAGCGATCATGAAATTGAGGAGTCAAACACAGAAATGTGGGATGAATCTAGGAAAGGAAAGGAAAGTAGAAGTGAGTTGATGGAAGATGAGAGAACACAGGTAGAAACCCAAACAATTAAGTGCAGTGAAGAAATAAAGAATAATCCAATACAAGAAAAAGATAAGACTGTAGAAAATGAAATGCAGAAAGTAGTTAAACAAGAGGAAGATGAATCTAGACAAGAATTGACTCAAGATGTCAGTGTAATTATTGAAGAGAATGTTGATGATAAAGAGGCATCAGTGGAAAGTAGCGAGAAGCTGGATCTTCCAGACCAGCAGCATGATAGATTTGTTTCTGATGATAGTTCATTGCAGAAAATCACAAAACTATCACAGCAACTTCGTGAATCCCTTGAAGGCAACACAAAGGAAATGGAAGTTCAGAACACTGTGTTAGATGATGCATGTCAACTTAGCAGAAAAGAAGGGGATACAAAACAGATGGGAAATGTGAATGAGGAAGATGAAAATAAAGGAATAGAAGAGCAGCATGAATTACAAGAAGTTAAGAAACAGGAAGTTGTTCCAGATATTGAGGAAGATGCTGATTACCTCAAGACACAGAAAGCAGAGCTGGATGAGAAGCCTGATGAACAAGTTGAGGTGGAGGGTCAAGAGGAGGAAATAGTGGAAGATGATGGTAAAAAAATTGATTTTGATGATGAATTAGGGCCGATATTAAAAACTCCTGGAAAGCATGATGCTGAGGAAGTTAATACACAAATGTTGGAGGAAGTTAGGGAAAAGGAAATAGTCACAGAAACTGCCAAAACAGAAAAAGGTGAAAAGGAGGAAACTCATCAAAGCAAAACTCAGAGTGTAGAGAATGAGGGCGTGATTACTGAAGGCAATGCTAGTATCCAGCAGGAAAAAGAAAAGGAAGCTGAAGAAGCCTGTCATTTGCAAACTGATGCATCTCAGTCTGCAGCTCCAGAAAAAGCATGTGATCTGGTGGAGGACGAAACTGAAAATGAAAAAGTGTTAGACAGCAATGATATGGAAAAAATAGCTGATGGATATTCATCAGAACAGGAGTTAGGAAACGTAGGCAACACTAGGGATGAAAGCAAAGAGGATATGCAAGCTAGTAGAAGGGGCAAGGGTAGATCTAAAGAAGATTGTATGATATCATGAGTTCAAAATCTAGGACCCAAATAAGTTACATACCATTTTATCGCTTTCAGTACAAAAATGCATTTTGCACAATAAATTAGACTTTAGAAATACTCTTTAAGTTTCTCTGAATGCAAGTCTCATAGTACAATGTCAGTCTATACATATGGACATCCATCCAAGTTATTTACTGCGATACATGTCCACCAGAGATTAAACATGTAGATTTGTTTTAAATCTCTCAGGTTTCATATTTGATCACCAAAAGAACAAGCAGCACAAATGTACTGTTCAGGTTCACGTCTAGTTAAAATGCTTTTAAGGCAGATCTCTCCTACCAAGAGACCTTAAATACTGCTCTTATTTTCTAGACTAGTTTTAAGCAAATTAGATGTTTTGAATGTACTTAAATACCTGCCATAGGTCTCTGTTAGTTACCATGAAGTGGTGATGTGCCTATCATAAAGCA